ACATAGAGAGCAACCTCCCCTCCACCACTCTCCTGCCTGTCCTTCCTGAAGAGCCTGTATCCTTCCATCCTGACACTCCAGTCATAGGAGCCATCCTACCACGTCTCCACAATGCCAGTGAGGTCACAGACCCTCATGCCTGTGCAAACTTTTTAAAAATTTTTCAAACTTTTTCATTAGTCCCATTCAAGTGTGCCAGTCCTAACACCACCTATATGCAGAAAATGAGTGGTATCCTTTATACCTGGGCAGTGAAATGAGATGCGTTTGAAGTATCTGTTCCAGAGGTGTTCAGAAGTTTAAAGCTAGACTTTTGCTAAAGGTGAGCCAGTATCCTCCTGTGGATTTTCATGGGACTAGGATGGTTTGGCACTTCATACATTCATATGTGAGTATTTCACACTCATGCTTAAGCAAAAGGAAGTTTTAGGTTGACTAACAGATCAATTATAATGCAACAACTTGTTTTCTGGAGTTTGAGGGAAGCAGCTAGTAACTCCAGACCTCTGCGCAGCACAGACAGGCAATCTGCAATTAAAGTGCAGCCTGACAATCTCCCTACCTCTGAGCCTTGCCTCCCATCACCTGTGAAAAGGCAGGATACCCAGATCCCTTCATACAGCTTTGCACCCTCATTGCTGTGCTCAGCAGAATGAGGCTGCGCTAGAAAGCTGCCTCCTACGGAATTAGGAGGGATGGCTGGCTCTTATCCCAATGGCATAAGTTAAAAAAACATGGGGAGCAAGGCACCCCATTCCCACTGAGTCTCCTTTGGACTCGGGGCGTGTGGTGTGTGTTTAACTCTCAAATGGGAATCTCCGTGCTTAGGATTCAAACATCCTGTTGGGTATACATCAGCAATAGCGTTACATTCAAAGCGGTGAATGGCTGAATGCTATTCCAGACAGGAAGAAATTAGCTTAAATTTTTTTTCTGTCAGGCTGAGGGCACAGTGTGAGTGAATTTGGTACTTGTTCAAGAGCGGGCAGTGGGGACAGAAGCCTCCTATTTCAGCTTGGCAGCAACAGAGACCCCAGTGACAGGTTCTGGATACGTGCATAGCTTTATTCCACTTTGCATGGGCCATTGAACAGAGGTGTTGCAGTGACCCTGCTCTCGCTGCTCAGGGCTGCCTGCTCCAACAACCAAAACCTCACCTGGGCTCTGCAGAAGGCACCTTTTGGGGAATGAAGAAAGCACCACAGCTAGGTCACTGCATCATAGCTGACCATTTCTCCCTCTTCTTGCTCTGGCTTCCGGGAGGACGGGTGACAAACGGAAAAAAAAAAAAAAAAAGATTTAAGAGCATTTCGCACTGTGGCTTGATGAGCTACAATGTACAGGGAAACAAGAAGATGGCATAATGCATGGGCATGTGGTGGGATCGGTATGCTTATCTGGACAAGGACACTACATAAGTGCCACCGCACCATCCGTTGCATGCAGTCAAATACACGATGGTTGACACAGGTCCATGCAGAAGGAGAGTTGAGAAAATTATGATAGGTAAATATCATCTTTTTTCCTAATGTTTGGGCTAGTTCTCGCGTGCTTTCCTACCCAGAGCACTCAGGGCCCGAATTTGATAAAGCTTCCTCTGAAAGCACAATTCTTGTGAATTCAGGTGCTTGCTCATTTGAGTATAGGCTTTTCCTTTGCACTGCTTTGACGATTCTTTCAACCCCAAGAATCTGTTATTATTGCTATGGGCTTTCCATTTTTCTTGCACTGTACCCCGACTGCTGAGTGCTCCTTGAATTTCCACATCTTTCCTGTCTAAGCCACCAATGCAGTTAAGAACAACGTAGCAGATGTCTTGTTCCCAATCTCTGATGGTCTTGATTGCTGCCTGAGGCATTTCTCAGTAACCAGATTCTCCTTCTAGCAAACAGTGCTTCTCTGGCTCCCAAGTACTGCAATATTCTTTACATCACTGAGGTTGGTAAGGTGTTCGGTGAAAGGTTCTGTAGGAATGGCAAGTATTGGTTGGGATTCATGAAAAGCAGGCTGTTCCCTAAGGCATTAAATTAAGAATATGTTCTTTCAGCGATCAAGATGTCTTCACCAAATGATGTCACTATGGAAGAAATACCACTGGAAGATGATGTGCGAGACAGCATAGAATACAAGATCCTAATGGCCTATGCCCAGCGGCGGTTGTCTGCCACTAAATATGAGAAACTTCTGAAAAATGAGGCTAAGAGGCAGAAATCATCCTCCTTAATCAAGAGAAAAGTGGAGATGATTGACCATCAAAGAGAGAAAGATGGACCAAGACAAGTAGCAGTTTCTCAGGGTGGAATGATGGAACAGCAGAGCAAAGAGCAACCGAGAAGAAGATACTGGCCAGGATATTGCCTACCTTTTCTCTGTGGCAGAGCGGAGCAGGAAAAGCCCCCAGTGCCACCATTGCAACAGGGTCACATGGCACATTGCTTCGTTTTTGAGGCACAGTCTGAGAGACTTCAAGAAGGGAGTTCGCAGCATCAGACAAGTATGTCTTAGTTCTTTCCTTTTCCTGTTTGTCTTTAAATCTCTCTCTAAATAGCTTAAGTGGATGGTGGCCTGTGGAAAGACAGGAGTAGGAAAGTGGTTTCTTTTACTTTTTGGTCATCTCTTATGCTAGCTCTAGTGATTTTCAATTAGGAAGGCAGATTGACAGATCTTCAGCAGTGCTTCGACACACAAGATTCATGCTCCTGACCCGCTTTTCTGTTTTCCATTGCATGGTGGTAAGTATTGCATAATTGCACAGGTGGGTCTTTTTTGCCTGAGCACTGGCTTTTTCTTTTTCATACCTGGTTAGAAATAAAACATAAAACACTGGTCAGACTGAAGACCTCCAGACTAAAAGAAAAGAAGTTGTTTGAAGGCCTGTTCAAGGAGCTTTATCATGCGATAAATAATCCACACTGAAGTGCTAGATTCTGCTTGAAACTCTGCTAACAAGCAGTTGGCAGTGACCAGCCTCAAGCACAGCGTGACCCTTGTCTCTGGGCCACCCCTTGTAACCCCACCATGGATCTTAAATGGAAGCCATCTTCCAGAGTTATCTAAGTCTTCTTTACACGTCGCTATTAGCAATTATAATATTAATTCTGAACCTGCCCTCCCATGTGTTGGAAGAAGAGGTGGTAGGTGTCTGTAATCCATCTGACATCCAGGGATCCCATCCACACAGACATCTCTTACCCCCAAAGCCAGCTCCACACCAGGTGTTGCACTGCAGGCAATGAGATTGTACCTTTTCTGCTCTGGATGATAATGAATACCGTAACTTCTCATACAAGGCTGAAAGAGGAGGATGAGCTAACCCCATTAAGTTGCCATATACAGTATATGCTAGGTTGCCATATTGTTTTCATACACATAAGGTAGAGGGTCATTTGTTTAAATTGTCCAGGCTTGATACTGTTGGTGGCACAGCAATTGCTCTCTCCTTTCACTGCATTTAAAGATATTTCTAAAAATTATCCATCACTGACGTCTCCAGCCTGATGCCCCATGCCTGATCAATTTAACTGTCCTGGGCCAGCTCTTACCCACCAAGCCCATAACTCTCCCTGCTGCCAAATCCAGCCCTGTGTCTCAAGAAAGTGTGCCTGCCCAGCTCAGTGTGTTTTGCTAAGGAGAAATAACTATAACTTTTCATGGCTTCAGTGCCAGGGACATGTGTCTGTACCCATATATCCATTTTTATGTCCATTTTATTTTCACATTGCCATGGAAAGCGCTCGAGAGTTTGGATGCAATCACTTGATAGCCCTGCCAATACACGTTCTCTGCAGCATGGGTGTCAGTATGGCATCAAGGTAAAACCTCCCTGGGGATCCTGCTTGGCCTCAAATCTGGACTTACCTGCCCTTCAGCAGATTGCTGGACTAATTCCTAAACCATCATTATTACTATTTGTCACTTACACTGCTAGCAGCTGCACGGCATGCTTGGCCAGGCCATTCTGGAGGAAACGGGAGTGCTTTGAGGGATTACCTGTCTAAATCGAAGGCCTGTTTGATTTAAAACCAGTTGCCTAATCTTAGGTTTCCAAAGTCATGAGCAACCTGATTCCCTTCCTAGAAGTTTAGCAGCTCCCTGACAAGCTCTGCAGGCAGATGAGGGGATGGAAATGTCTTGGGGTTGATTCATCAGCCTTGAAATGCAGCCTTTATTGGCTGCATTAAACCCTGCTGTCCTCAAAATAAACTCTGCTCGTGAATTTTACACGTGTTATGAATCAGGGTGCTGCCAAGCTTGTCCTGATGACTGCTGGTCGTGCAGGAGCTGCCACTCAGCAGTGGTGACGGGGGATCGAGTTTTGCATCCCGAGCTCTGTGAGGCGAACCGTAAGGAAGACCACTTTTAGATGAAACAAACCTTGGAACAGCTCCTCCTGCTCTCTTTGCTACAGCAGGATCTCTGTTGGAGTCCCCTCACGGAGTGGTGCCTTCAGCCGGTGAGGGTCCTGGACAGGGTCATGACACAAGGTGGATAAAGTCAGACTGGTTGCTGAGTTTTCCTAATATTCATGTCTGGTTAATACAACAGTGTCAAGGACACAAGAAGCTTTTGTGCTAGAGGTGCCTCTGCAGAGAAGTCTGCCTCTCCTTTGATCAGGATTAGCCTGTGAGAACAAGGAAAGAGCGTTCAAATACACCATCTTTTCTGAACCTGGACCTACAGATGAACTAATCGCGGGCAACACAACCAAGGTCTAAGATTCACAGTCCTGTAGAGCAGTATTCTCATGTTTCTCACATGGTGTGCTTCTGGATTGCAAGGACATATGCTAGTGAGCCACACTTGCTTCCGTACCGCCTCTGTATAGCTAGCTGCTGCTCGGATGCTAGAGAGAGGTCGGACCGCATTACTTGTCTCTGCAAATCAGTACCAGCTGATCTCAAGCAACAGCAAAGCCCCAGCATGGGGAAATGTATCTCTTGGTATCCTACGGACAGTTCCACCTTAGGGGGGCAGGTAAATGAGTAAATCACTTGATTACTCCCTGGAAAGATTAAGTGCCTTCTTTGTTTCTCCAAATTATTTTCTCACCTTCCTGCCCAATCAGGTGAAACTGCAGATGTCAACCACATTGCAGACAAACTTGCCAAGCTTGTTACTTCCAGATCCCAAGAATCTCCTTCAGATGCGACATTGAAGAAAACACTTCATGCCCCATGTCAGGAACAAGACGATAGCAATCCTACTGACGGAAAGGAGGGCCAGGAGCATGGTAAGGGTGAAGAATTTCCTGCTCACAGGCAGTGCATCAGGTTGGGATTGCACACTGAAGCGTTTTCTCTAGACATGGTGAAGCACTTGGGAATTCTGCAGTAAGACAGCGTGAAGAAAGAAGTTTCCCCTTCTGGTTCTTGCTCAGTTACACATATTTTCAGGGACTGGTCTTGTAGTCCACTGACAAGTCCTGCCTGCTACTCCAGTTAAAAGGAGGACCCTTAAAAATCCAGGGAGGTGTGACATGAGAAAAGGAGGATGAAGTCAAGGGACGTAAGGTGACAGAGCAGTGGTGGGAGCGGCAGGGCTGGGCAGAGGCATACAGCAGGGCTCTAAGGCTGAAGACCAGCCCCTGCAGCAATTCCATCCTGGTCAATCCCCCTTCGGTGACGGGACAACACTGCTCAACAGGCTCTGCTGAATAAAGTCTGAGCTGCTTGTCTCCCTTGACATCTGCAGAGCCTTAGTTTTAATACTGGCTTTCTAGGGACTTCTGTTTACAAAAGGGGTCCTGCCATATTTGCATTTCCTTTAATCCAGCAAACCCAGAGTCTTGTCCAATTGCTAATGATGAGGGGTTTTTTGTTTGTTTGTTTGTTTTTCCTTAATTTGAAGGCTATTTTTGTGGGCTTCCACTAGCTGCTCTTTTGTTCTGGCTCTTTATCAGCCATGACTCGAAGTCCAAAGGAATGGCAGTGGGAAGTTAAAGCCCCTGCTCTTTCCCAGGTTCTTAACTGGAGGGAAAATCGGGCAGATGGAGAAATAGTGTTGCTTACTCCACGCAGAATAGAACAGTGAGCTTCTGCTTAAAGCTGGATACACAACCCTCCGTGAATTTGCCACAGAACAGCAGCTGCTGTCATGACTAAGTGATACAAAGGCTTTTGCCATAGTTTGCTATCTGGGTCCTACTAGAAGGTTGCGATATTTATGTTACTCTTTTTTTTTAACAGATGAAGAAAAGATAATACAAACAATAGTTTCACTGTTAAGACAATCAGGAGACCAACTAGAAGAAAAGGTAACTCCTTCTGTTTTCAGGAGCTACACAAACTAGAGTGAGAGATTACGCTTTTTGGGAGAATGTTTTCTAACCTAGCACACTCTGCTTCTATCCTGAATCTCCTTCCACATCTACGGCTTTCTGCAACCTTGCCATTCATCCTGAAATCTTTCTTAAGACCAGAGGACTTAGAGAGTTTCTGTTGGGATGATGGAGGAAGGCCACAAAAATATACAGTTCAAAGAGGAGTCACTTGCCTCGTTCCCACTGAATTTCATGGCATATGATTGATTCTGAGAAACCCTTGTGTTTGCATTAAATTTGGCATACAAATTGTTCCCAGTTGAGGGAGAGAAAAGCTTTGGGAATTGCTGTAGGGAA